GGGGGAAAGAACATGCTAGCAAAGAACAATCAGGCGGACCTCAGACGCGCCCTCCCCTGGGCTAAAGCTCAGGAGCTCTTGGAACACCTGGCTGACTTTGAACACACAAAAAATCACATTGTAGCCGTTCTACCCCAAGACAGTGTAGTTGGTCACATGTGAAAGCAGCTGAGATATTATCAAATATAGAAGGGCTATAGAATCACCAGAGAATTCCTGAAAAACATTTTATGAGGATGTATTGTGATAGACTGAAAGGTGACTCAAAGTCATCATGGACGGAAAGAATAAGGCAAATGTAACGTGTAAATTGAAGGTCCCAGATGGTAGGTATTTGGACATTCACTGCCTGATGCTCTTTATTTTCTCTGTATTGACTGTTATCATAATAAAATGCTGGGCAAAAATTCAAAAACAGTCCTTAATAGAAACATTATAAATGAATAAAAGGATTAGTGTTTAGTATTTAAATTATTTAAATGCACAGTCTAATTGCTATTAATATGGTTACAAACCAAGATCTCCCTTCAGAGTATTATAACATTTAAAAGCTAGAAACCAACTAGTGTTCAATGACAAAAATGTTATTAAATAAGTTGTCAAATAGAAAACAAAGTACAAATTATATAGGCCATTGATAAAATTTTACTAAGAAACATGATCCCTGTTTTATAAAATAAACAGACAATAAAGCCCCACTAGTTCCAGAAAATGATTGAAAATAAATATGTGAAAATGTTACTTCTTTTATTATCTTTATTATTTTTTATTATTTTTTTTAATCAGAGGAATTTCAGTTGAAATAACCTAGCTGATAGATACATATAGAATTTTATACCAGGGTTGTCCTTTATACCAGTTACTGGCAGGTGGCTTCTCAGGCATTGCTCAGAGCCCACATTGCCAAGGAAACAAACACTGAGTAAATAAAATGAATCCATAAATTACACAAAGCCCAAAGATCACAAATTTTTGCGTAGCCAATCACTGCTCGTCTGGAGTCTGGGTCCCTGTTGACCTGCCTTCACGGCGCCGTCTCCTTCAGGGCTTGGCTTTTCTCTGTCATCCTCTTGTGTCTCCCTACTTTGCAGGATACAGAGGCCATTGTTGCATGCATTCATTTCATCCCACCTCCAGAAATTTTGCTAACAGGTGTTTAGGAGGACGCTGACATGAATGCCATGACCACATCACTTTCCATCGAGTTTGTTGAGGCAGAAGTTGAAGAAAGCAGTAAGATCTGTGTGGTGTGATAAAGCGAGAGCTGTTCACCTTCTCAAAGACGTCCCATGCTGGTCCTTGTGGTTTGTGTGATGCACGTGCAAATTGCAATAGGGTGTCTGTGCCTCATGGGCTTTGTGGATACAGTAAATGTGCCCAAGGGCAGGGAGAACTTTTTTATGTCTCTTTGCATTATATGTCCCCCCCCCATAAATATATTTGGCCAACAGACCGTACAGTCTGGGCAGAGGATAAGATAATGGTGTTTCCTTTAACATTTGGAGGAACAAGAAAAATTGAACATCGAAGGCTTGAAATACTTTCCGTGGTTTCATTCGTCTGGTCTCTCTGGATGACACTTAAAAAAAAACAAAAAACAAATAGAAGTCATGAATCATTGTGGTTTTTCCTAGCAGGTGTAACATCTCCAGTAGCAAGCAGAGTCCAGAAAATGTTTTCTGTTTCTCAATCTACAAATAGCTAACAAATTGGACTCCATAAAAATAATAACAAATAGAGGGATGACTCTTGTCGCTGAAACCCTTTTCGATCTTTGATTTTATCTGGAGCTAACACTTAATCCGAGCAAATGGGAGTCCTATTTTCCGTTGTATTTTTATGTGGTTCTGTTGTTGCAGTAGGTAAATATGCACTGGAAATATTTTTGTAAGAGCAGAAAATGTCAACAGATTCCAGGCATAAAGGGAGGATTGGGGACCCCTGATTTTCAGAGCAATTCTGGAGGCAAAAAATAGGGAATATAGGTAGCAGACAGTCATTCTCTGTTTCTGTAACATTCTTAAGGTCTGTAAAATCAAAGTGTTGTATTTGGCTAGAGAAATAGGAATTCATTGCTAATGGACTCAGAGAAGGGAGGGATGTTAATTTCTTCCCTTTTCCAAGTAGGTCATTCAAAATGTTTGGTTTTTCTGCTCTGTAGTCAAAGTGCCAGTTTCCTTGGTGCCTTTACTAGCATTGTTAATTTCAATCTTTTGGTGATTTTTATTGGCCATCATCCTTCCATCCCTTTTTGTGTATGCCGCAGAGGTCAGGTAGATTGCTGACAGGTAGAAGCTGGGCTATTTGCGCTTTTTGAGTTCAGCAAACATCAGTGTGGACAGACAGAGCCCTTGGCCTCCCCCTGCTGGTGGCCGGCATCACTGCAGCCACACTGCCTGGTCTAAATCACATCCAGCCAATGACGCCTGTTTAAATTATTTAGCAAAGACAAGGTGATGACGTATTGCAAGGTACATCTTGCAGTAGTAAAATCGGATGCAATCAAATTCATAGCTATTTAGAGTGCTAGAGATAAATCAGGGACTCATCATTAACATTCTATTTGTATGGATAGAGTTAAATTATTTCTGGCAACACCATTAATACTTCACAGAAATATATTCTCTTCTGGACATATATCAATTCAGTTGAGAGTAAAATCCAATCACTAATAGTATGTGCTTGGTACATATATGTATGGGAGGATTTATGCATAATCACTTGGAGGAGTAGCTTATGAAACAACATAGTGGTTGCTTTCTGATCTGTAACTATGTGTATGTGTGGTGGTGTGTACTGTTCTGTTTGCCCATACCATCTGCATGATATATAGTCCATCTGGTTTGATGCTGTTGAAACCAGGGGGATATTCACTCCATGGGTATGATTTTCCAAGCAGATGGAAAGCATAAATAACTTGGAATTCTGATAACACAACTTGCTTTCTACATTTGAGCCTGAAAGTCCATTGTATGCACATTGTCTTTATGTATAGTTCTGATGTGGAAGAACTTTGCTAGGTAATCCTTAGGATCCTGGAGAAAGCCTGTTGATTTCTTCAACAATAAAGCTATGAGCAATTGTTGACTGCTCTTCTTGGAATGAAGATGCCCTGCTAATTTATGTTCTCATTATTACTCTCTTGACAACATCAACAGTACATCCATACAAAGACCCTGTTTATTTAAAACAAGAGATGTAATTCTCTTAAATTTTTAAACTTTCTATTAGGGGGATTGTCAGTCATTCACCAAAATATGAATCCCCACTTCAATAATTGTTAGCATTTAAATTTGCTTTAAATGAATATATTACAATTCATATAAACAATTAACTTTTCTGAACCCAGTAACTTAAAGACAGGGTGGAAAGAAAAAAAAAAAAGGAAGAAACGGTACATCATGGGTGTGACTACAGTTTGGATCATTGCACATTCTGCATGAGCCAAATTTCTATGAGAGGCAAGTAAAGGTCTAAGAATATGAATAATCTTTGGCCATATAACAAATAAGTGTAGCTGTTAGCACTATTTTTCATCCCTAAAGTAAAATATTATGTTGTAGAAAAATGTATTCTGTGGCAGGTCATTTCTCTTTAATTTATTACCTATAAATTTGAGCAAGAAGAAAGGTTTTTAAAAAATGTGTTGTTTTGAGAGTAGGTATGTGGCTCACGTTCTCCAGCTCCCACTTCTGATGCCCACTCTGCAGGCACTGTCCATCCCCTGCTCTCCATCTGACAATATCAACAACACTGGAACTTTCCTAACCCAACAGGACAAACTGGGTAGAATTTATTCAATAGAGAAGAGGAATGGCTAATGCTAATCACATCAGATAGCAAGATCAATTTTTGAAATACATGTCCTGGGTGTATTATATAAGCTCAATTGAATATTCTTCTTCCTCAGTCTTTTCTGGTTTGAGCTTCTCAAATCAGGCCTGCCACACTGATGTTAGAGTCCTCGATATGTGCTCTGCAACCAATCTGCCTAAAGCTAAAACTTCTGATTGCACTTTCTTTATTTAATTAGTGCAAGTTTTAAACACAACTTACAGCTCTTCTTTGGACTGCCTGCAACCTTAGAAAATACTCATTTTTTTTTTCTATTTCACTTCTCCTATTAAATGAACCCAAAATCTGATTTGAGTTTTTATTATAATGCATATTTCAGAACAAAAATGATTTGCCCTTCATTCTCAAGAAGTCTCATTGAGAAAACTCCCCAATGTATTTTTTTTTCATGAATGTGATTTAGCTTCTGGGACCTTCCCCATGAAGATTTTAGAGTTTATACTGAAATGCGATTTTTCTAAATTCTGACTGCACAATGAGGATGCCTTTCTTACGGAGCTTTCTTCCATGACCCAGGTTTTGGGGCAATGCCCCTTCCATTTTGTGACTCTGATGTCTTCGAGGACTTTGTGACCATTGGCTTTCAGGCAACCAAAGTAGAAACAGCTTGTGAAGGGGACCACCCAACCATTAAAAGCCATGTCTCTCGAATGACTTAGGTCACTTCCAGTCAAATTCCATTTGCTGAACCTAACTGCAAGGAAAGCAGAGGAATGTAGCTTCGTTGGGGGCCCAGAAAGGATAGGTTTTGTTTTTTTGGGTTTTGTTTTTTTTTTTTTAACTGAAGTAGAGTTGACACGTAATGTTCCATTAGTTTCTTGTGTACAACATAGTGATTGCACAGGTCTGTATGTTATGCTCCACCCACCTCAAGTGGCGCCACCATCTGGCACCCTTCAGCGCTCTTACAGTACCATTGGCTAGGTTCCCTATGCTGTGCCCTGCATTCCTGGGGAAGAGTGGTCAGTTCTGATGGACGGAGGGCAGACTCTGCCCTGCCAGAATCCTGAGCTTCGGTACCTTCCACAGAGCTTTCCACATCCGATGAGCCTCCGCAGAGGGGCCGGAGGTGAAAGGGCTGGGGCTGGCTCTTCTTGAGGCCCCATGCAGTTACAGACATGGCCTGTCTGGTGTCTGGGCTGCAGGTCATACCTGGAACGGACGCCGATGTGGCTGTTGGAACCGTGGTGTCAGCTGCCGAGGAGGCCCCAGTGGAGGAAGCAGAGATGGAGAAGGCAGCTCTTCCTGCTGGGGAAAGAGCAGGCGGAGAGGAGGCCAGGACTGATGCTGATACCACACAGGCTATAGATAGTGACCGATCTCAACCGGAAGAACCAGAAGCAGCAGCCCCTCAGGTGAGTACCCCAGGGAAATGGAGGTTCTGGGGAGGCGGTGCCCGGGGTGGAATGCAGTTTACTGGTGAGTGCTGGTAACAACTCTGGGTGCAGAACAGGTTTGTGGCCATTGCATGGTACCCCGCTTCAACAAATACAATTTTATATATGCACATACATACATATGTACACATACACAATATACAGTATACAATTACATATATACTATTAAACAATATGCAATTATATAGACATAAAATAAATTTAAAATATATAAAATTCTACACAAATATAATTACATTGTAGAATTTTTTATATTTCAAATTTATTATATATATGTGTGTTCTTTATATTTTTATTTATTATTATTTATGTATTTGTATATAAGATTGTCAACAGGAGTCTGAGCTGGGCTCTCTCCCAGCGTCAGCATTGCAAGGTTCACACAGGCCCCCAGTGATGGAGAAGAAGAATAAAGCACAGATGATGTAAGCGTGAGGAAGAGAATGTGACCGGATGGCGGGTTGTGCTGATTACGTGAAGAAATAGCCATCCAGTGCTTTGCCCAGTGGCAGGCACACGGGGAGAACCCAATATTAGTAGTTACATCCTATCATTAGTAGTAGTATTTGGGGATTGTTGTTATCACCAAAGCGCCCCAAATTCACCATTAGGAAGCTCCTTTCAGCAAAAGCCCATTCCTGTTGGCACATTCAGGAGGCCAACAGGTCATTAAATACATACATGAAGTTGTTGGACTAGCCCCAGCTCCTCACTTCTTCAGAGAAGTGTTTGTTCAAAGTCCACAAATCCATATAATCCATGATGTGGGGGGCACACAGCAAGGGCAGGTCTTCTAAACTGCACACTTGGTCTAGATTCCAGAAGGGTAACAAAAAGTGGGCTCTCGATGTGATGCTCTCCTTTGTCCTGATTAGTTTACTCATAAGAAATTTCCCCCAGATCTCTCCAGGGTTACTCAAAGCTTGAAACTAAATGATCCCTTTCATCCCACTAGAAAAATAGCAGGTAGTATTGGTATTTGGAGAAATAACTTAAAAATATGTGCCATTTGTTCATGAGATTTTTCTTGTCACAACGCCAGAAGTGTTTTTGTATTATATTGTTAGACTTGTTGAAAAAGTGTATTATTTTCTCCAAATTGAAGAATGGAAGTGCTTAAGCCCACTGATATCTAAGGGAATCGAGAACTTGATCTGGAAGGCAATAAACATCTCCAGGCTTCCATTATGCTAGTGAAATTCGTCTCCTCTCGCATCTTTGTTACAAAATAAAGAGGAGATCTTGATCCTTTGGTTCTGCTTCCCGCGCCCCCCGCCCGCCCCTCAGTGTAGAGTCCTCAGAGGAGTGGTTGGTGGGAACTGTCATCCCTCCAGCTCTAACTGCAGTGTGGGCTCTGATAATCAGCAAACAAAACAGACCTGGATTTTCTCCAAACACCAGCCAGATCTGTACAAACAATACAGTTGCAGGCTAGTCAGGAGTCGCGTGGGTCTCTGGGAGAAAAGCAATCACAGGAGGCTTCAAACAGTGTTAGTATTCAGTGAGACAAGAGTGGACCACGGCAAAAATGAGGCCATTCTTGGGACCGTACGACGTTCCCCTTCAGGATGGTCTCCACACCCCCATACGACCCCCCCCCCGCAGTCTCCTATGCCTTTTCCCAATTTCCACAGAAACCCACTCTTCACAAATGGCCTGACTGCTCAAGGATCCGGAAATTAATCCCACTAAGGGTTTCTGTCTCAGGAGAGCGAGGAAGGTGACCATGTCAGGAGGAAGGTCCTGCAAGGCTTGAGGCCCAAAGGATTGGGCCACGTTTGGGGAACGGCGGGCATTTTGTGGAATGGGGGAGGTGGGGAACGTGGGAGCCAAGGAGGGTGCGTCAGGGACGGAAGCAGTGCACAGCGCACCCGAGGACGTAGAAGTCTTTCTTCCCAGCCCCTGCTCAGCACCGCCACATTTTTCTCCCTCCAGGAGAAGGTCATCCCTTCAGTCGTCATAGAGCCCGCCTCCAACAATGAAGGGGAAGGAGAGCACGAAGCCCCCGCAGGTGAAGAGTCGGTGGAGACCCCCGATGCCGTGGCTCTTCCGGGCCCCGCCGGTGAGCTGCCAGAGCTGCCTGCAGAGCCCGAGGTGGGCCAGGACTCCCAGCCACTGCCCTCCGCTCCATCTGCAAGCGAGGCGGCTCAGGAAGTGCCTCCCGGCTTCCTCTACAAGGTCTTGTCATTTTGTCTTGTTTTAATCTGGGAGCCATTCGTCCTTCCTTGGCTTTGAGACCCCTTTGCTGGAACCTTTGGTTTTCGGATGTTTCTGTTTGCATTTTGCGATACATATTCTTTCTCAGTACTGCTTTCCCCACGTCACAGGGTAAAATGATAGGATTTCCGGGCTGCTGGACAAGCAGAAACGACAGTAATTACTTTCCATTTTTCCGCAATCCATAGTTAAAGATTGTCACAGGACAAATGATATGCCCCTTGGTAGAATGGGTGAATCCCCCCACCCCACCCCCTGTGTGCCCTCCCGTGCTTCTCTCCCAGCCCTGTGAGTCCCTCCAGCCCTGGGCTCAGACCAGGGCTTTGAAATCCTCCATGAATGCATCTGCTTGGGGCTGGATTATACACCAGCCTGCTTGGACGCACCCCGGCTTCCCTCCCTAACTGCAGTGTGGCCTGAGGAACATCACTCCTCTCTCTGTGAATTGGGGAATAAGATAGTCATTTCCAGCTCTGACATTTTATGATTCTATATAAAAAAATACACATTTTAATAGCCAATCACTTAATCTCAGGGGGTAGGGCTGAGGAGAGGGACATGGAGAAATAAACCCTCCATGACTGAGTAGTTGCTCAAGCGGGGTGAGCACCTGGGTCATTATATTATTTTTCCTGCTTTTGTTTCTCAGAATTTTTTATGATTAAATTTTAAAGAAATCTTTCAAAAAAAGGAGAAAAAGGGTAGGGGGAGAGGACAGGTATTGTTTAAGGGTATAAAGTCACAGTGAGTAGTAGATAAGTCCTAGAGATCTAATGCACAGCATGGTGAATATAGACAACAACATTGCATCATAATCATCAAATTTCCTCAGAGACTAGATCTTAATTATCCTAGCACTAGAAACAAATGCCAATAACATAACGTGATAGAGGGGCTCAGTATTGCTATAAGGGCATCCTACTACAGTATCCAAATGTATCAAATTAGCATGCTGTACACTTTAAATGTGCACAATATATGTCAAATTTATTTCGATTTTTAAATTTTATTTATTTATTTAAGTAATCTCTACACCCAACTTGGGGCTCAGACTCACAACCCCAAGATCAAGAGTCGCATGCTCTTCCATCTAAGCCGGCCAGGCACTCCAAATATATTTCAATTTAAAAAAAAAAGAAAGAAAGAAAAGAGAAAGAAAAGAAACAGATTGGCATGGTTTAAAGGTTAAGATAGGAAGTTTTTAAAGAAATTGATCACAGGGTTTAATTAAGTAGTAATTCCCATAAAATATGGGAAGTGATTTTTCCCATTATTTCTTTAAATGTTACATGTACTATTTTATTTAATTGTAATTGTAATTTTATTGGTGGGAGGAGTCAGGGGAGCAGCAGAGAGAGAGGGAGAGAGAATCTTAAGCAGGCTTCACGCTCAGTGTGAAGCCCAGCCTCGGGCTCGATCTCACTACCCTGAGATCATGGCCTGAGAGCCAAAATCAAGAGTCTGATGCTTAACCAACTGTGCCACCCAGGTGCCCCTGATTTTTCCAATTATTAATTATTCAACAGAAGTGAGGTTAGAGGAACTTTCCACTAGGCATTAGTGGAAAGTTTAAAAACAAAAAATAATAAAACATCAGTGATAATAAAATGAAAATATCTAACAAAAATATGACGAATTAGAATTTAATTAATGCACTACACGTCAACTCTTGCTGAGGCATTGGATTACTAAACGTACAAATTGTCTTAATATCAGTCTTCAAGAATTGGATGTTTTAAGTAAACAGGACTTCGTTTCTATGATTAGAGGTCTTCTTCCTTGGGGTATGCTGGGATCATTGTCTTTACCTAGCTTGGAGAGCCTTCTACAAGTACCTGCTGATAATCTGGCTGGGAGACTTCAATGTTACATTTCCTTTTCTTTTTAAAATTAGTAAATTCTTTAAAAATCTTTTGCAGGTGGAAACACTGCATGATTTTGAAGCAGCAAATTCTGATGAACTTACCTTACAAAGGGGTGACGTGGTGTTGGTGGTCCCCTCAGATTCAGAAGCTGACCAGGTAAAGAATGAGATTGAAAGGTTCTACGGACTATGTTGTGGTTTTTTGTTTTTTTTTTTTCTGAGGGTCACTGGGACACAGTGACTAACTGAAGACATTTCTATTTTCTGAAATGCTTCAAGGCAGCTCTGAAAAGGGTTTAGGGCTTATGAGCACAGGACATGGCTAACTGTAGCTTTTTAGGACACCTCTTTTGGGATACTGTTATATTGTTTCTTAATAGATGACCATTTCTTACTTTACATCCACTTTCTAGGGATATTGTCTCTGAAATATCAGTCTTTAGGGAATATAGCCACTATCCATGTGCACTCAAAATCCCCCTTTTTAAAAAAATTTTATGTTATTATGTTATGTTATTATGTTATGTTATGGGTATTAAGGAGAGCACGTGGATGAATCATGGATCACTACATCAAAAACTAATGATGTATTGTATGGTCAAAATCCCTCTTAAAAGTAGTTGCCTCTAGGGGTATAGAGACTGACCAGGAAGGAACATGAGGGAACTTTCTGGGGATGGAAATGTTTTCTATCTGAATAGGGATGTGGATTACATGTGTGTATGCATTTGTCAGAACTCACTAAACTGTACACCTAAATGATGTTTGCATTACCCAGGATTTAAATTATACCTTAATTTTTTTTGGCTTTTTCCTTTTTTTAAAAATTTTTTATTGTTATGTTAATCACCATACATTACATCATTAGTTTTAGATGTAGTGTTCCATGATTCATTGTTTGTGCATAACACCCAGTGCTCCAT